TTCCTGATTTGTGAAAGGGCGATAAAAACAGTAGATACCTCCTAAGGTTGCTGTGAGGATTCAACAAAATAAGACATATGAAGTGTTTAGCACAGAGCCTGGCACAAGCAAGCTCTCAGTAAGGGCAGCAGCTCTGGAGTTACCATCATCACCATCACCACCATCATCATCATCTACTTCAACCTGCCCATTTGGTGGATGCTGAAACTGAGGCCCAGTGTAGTTGCATTCCTGGGGGGAAGGGGAACGGGCTCTGAGACCCAGACATGGCCTTGCCAGGGGAAGGGGGTGGGGGGCGGACCCCGGCTGAGAAGGGAGCCGAGTAAGAGCTATATTTAAGCTCCTGGCGTGATGACTAAGGAGGTTGATAACAGGCTCTGGGGCTGCAGGCCGGGGGCAGCTGCCAGGGAGAACCGCCCCCCTGGAGACAGCTGTCTCCGGAGGCCTCTCCTGGCTCCCTCCCTTCCCTCTCTCCGGGTTGGGGGAGGCGTACCATGGCAGAGGGTACAGTTTGTCCAGGCCCCTCCTGGAAACTCTTAGTGTACCCTTCAGGCTCTTTGGGCCAGGAAGAGGAAAGGAGGAAGCTGGTGGTTGATGGATTATCTCAGTTACCCTCCAAGGTAACCCTGTGAGGTTGGTAATAAGATTCCCACTTGACAGAGGAAGAAACTGAGGCCTAGGGATTACACAGCCAGTAGGCGACAGCGCAGAGGGTTCCCAGGGAGATAGTGGATAATATTCCCCTACAGAGGCGACCATTGAATCCCTTCTTTGTAGGAGAGTCCGTGTTGCCAAATTGAAAAGAGAAGAAATGCCCTAGGAAGCAGAGAGAGCAATAGGTACAAAGGTATGGCATGTGGAAAGTTCTGGCTGTGAAAGGATGCAAAATTTGGACATGTGCCCTTATGGCCCTTTGGCTCAGAGTAAATCCACCATGAGCAGGGAAGAGAGAGAGGTTTTCTCCTTCCTCTTTCCTCCTCCTCTTCCTCGATTCACCTCCCAGGGACACCTGAGGATGGCAATGGTAGAGAAGGGTCTGTCCTCCTTCCTTTCGCTCCCCGGTCACCCTGACCCAGGTCCACCATGAGGGAGGTCACACCGTGGCCGCTAGCTGAGAAATGTCTGGCGATGTGGAAGGTGCTACAGGGTATTGTGGGAAGGTGGAAGAGGTAAGCGTTAGGGAGGGCTTCCTGGAGGAGAAAGTATACAGGGCATGGAGGAGCATTTCTCCTTCCAAGACTTCGCTCTAGGGTTCCTTATTGGTACCAAGTGCCACATGTTATGTCACTGTCCCCTCGTGGCATCCACACCTCCCATTCTGCGCCTGAGGAAATGGGCTCACGGAGGAGGAGTGACTTTCCCAAGGTCACACAGCTGGGGCTGAGCTCAGGCATCCCTCCTCCCTCTCCTCAGTTCCTCCTCCTCCCAGGCAGCCTGGCACCCGCTGTCAGCTGCTCTGAAGTGAGTGGCTATTTTTATTCTGGTGCGAGGGGATCTCGGGCAGCAGAGCCATGTAGGTTAGAAGGCTCTAGGACATCCAGCTTCAGCAGGCAAGGAGAGGCTTAGCAGGGACATAAGCTCATCTAGGGGCTCTCATTTGCAGGCCAACCTGCCCTGGGCTCCCATGTCTCTGGAAACTTCTATATTGGAGCTCAGAACAGAGCACAGAGCCAGACTAAACCTGGGTCCTGATCCCAGATCCAACTTAAGCCCTAATCTTGGTGTTAACTGAGCCCTGATCCTATGCCAAGACTGAGCCTCTATCCCAGCTCTAGATTAAGCCTTGACCATGGCCTTAGATTAAGCCCTGACTCTAGTTACATACTGAGCCTGATCCAAGCCTGACTAAGGCTCATCAACTTGAGACCTCGATTTTGGACCTAGATTGAGCCTTGATCCTAGCCTAAGACTGAGCCATAGTCACAGACTGAATTCTAACCCTAGTCCAAACTAACTCTTGATTTTAGCAGACCCCGACCCCAGGTCTAGACCAAACTCCAAGTCTAGTCATTAACTGAAACCTGAACCTGGTGGCAGACTATGCCCTGATCTTGGTCAGAGACTAAATCCTGAGCCTAATCATTGACTGAAACCTGACCTCAAACTGAACTCTGACCCTGGGTCACACAACTCTGGTCACACACTGAGCTCTGACCTCAGACTGTGCACTGAATCTGGTCACAGACTGAGGCCCAAGCCCAATCATTGACTGAGCCCTGACTCTAGCCCTAGACTCAGTTCTAAACCTGGCCTTAGGGTAAGGGCTGACCCTGACCCTCTCTGAGCCCGACCCCATCACAGACTAAACCCCAAACCCAGCCCTACCTGAGGAAGGCTGCTGGCCTAGATTATAAACTGCCACGTAAGAGCATGGATTATGAGCAGAGATCTGTGCTGGGAGATCCTGGGCCTCCCATGGCTATTGATGCCAGAACGTTCCCAGTACTGTTGTGGCCACTGTCTCGACCACCAGCTACACTGGCTGGCCAGTCAACCCTCAGCAGCCTAGGCTATGGCCCCTCGAGGCTGCAGAGTCCAGGTTAATGTAATGAGAGTGGTATGGTGGCATCTGTCCAGTGAACAGCGTGGGCCCATGGGGTACTGAGGTTTGGCTCTGTCAGCAGAAAAAACCACAGGCTCCAGAGGGCCCTCTGGCTTCAGCCATACTGAGGCCACTGTTGGGGTGTGGAGTGGGATAGAGGGAACCCGTGGCATATAGCCCATTATTTTTGTAAACAAAGTTTACTGTTTGTGTTTAGGTAATATGTGTTTATTATAGAAAGTAAAGAAAAAAGTGTAAAGGAGAAAAAAATTCACCAATAATTTCATCTACCAAGAGATGCTCATTTTGACTTCTTAGGTTGTTTCTTTCTGGATTTTGGTTTTTGGTCTAGGCATATATATTTGTATATACGTATTTCATAAAACTGGTTGGCTACTCTGTTGACGCCACAACGTCCATTGCAACCCATATTCTTCTTGACGGGCTTCAGGAATGGATCCCAAATGGTTAAGCCAATGAGCAATTCCCATTCCTCCAGCCACATGACTGGATTGTGGATGGACTAGTGAGATAAAAAGAGACTTTTGCTGAGGGCTTTTGAGAAAGAAAGCTTGTTTTCTCTCCTGAGAAAGTCACTAAAAAAGATGATTTCCCTTCAATAAGATGTGAATAAAGAAGTCTGTGGCCCTGGTACTGCTGGCAGCCATCTTGACACCAAGCAGGTCACTGGCCTACTGATAAGCTGACACTATGGAAAGCAGAATGGAGACTTAGTGACTTTATTAACTGGGTGAAACCTCACCTGAAGCCATCCCTGTCATTGCACTTTTTATTTGAGCCAACAGATTCCCTTTATTGTTTGAGGCAGTTTAACTTAGGGTTTCTGTGACTTGCAGCCTAGAGCATCGCAACTCCCAACTGATATTACTGTCTCATAGCTTTTATTTTTTTGATATCTAATACCATAACTATGAACATTCTCCATGTCATTCAACTCTATGATACATCATTTTAAACATTGCCTGGTTTCCTATCCTGTGGAGGTACCATCATTTATTTCACTCACCCTCTGCTGTGACATGCTTAGGTTGTGTCTCCAGTTTTTCACCATGATAAATAGTGTTTTGGTAAACAATCTTGACCTAACAATTGGTCCCCTCTCTGATGATTACTTTGGGTCAAATTCTGAGAAGTGGAATGACTGGGTCGAAGAAATGTCTTTAGGGTTTTATTGAGTCAAACTGCCCTTCCGAACAGTTGGATGAATTCATACTTCCCCAGCAATAAATAGAGTGTTACACAGAGCCTATGGTGTCAATAGTCTGGACAGAACCAATTATATTTACAGTGCCCTCATGTATTTATAGGGAATATTAAATAATTAAATAAGAATTAAATTTAAGTAAATAATAATTAAATAACAGGTCTAAGTCTATTCTTATTATATCTTCACAATCAAGTCAGCAAACGGGAGCTAGTGGGGTACGAGCAAAGGGCTCAGTGCAGACCTGACATCCACTAGTCCCAGTGTCTAGGGCCTATGATACTTCTAGGGGTCCACAAAAATGTTTTAATTTTAATTTCTTTTAACGTTGGAAAAAAATAATGAATATATAATAGCAATGAATCCAGTCTGGATTATATTCATCTTTTTATCACAGCAGTTGTAAAATCCAATTTTTAATATATTTTTTTAATGGAGGAAGGTGCCCAGAAAGGCAAAAATGCCTAGGGTCCCTGAAAGTCGTAATGCAGCCTTGGCTTGATGTTGAGAAGGATTCTGAGTCCCAGTCTCGATTCAATGGGAAAGAGCACGGCGACCAATTTGCTGTGTCTGCCTTAGGCCTGAAGAGGGGAAGTGGCATCCTGACCTAGTCGTCTCTGGTTTGGTGAGATGAGCGCAGAGACGTTTCAGATTCAAATCCCAGATCCACAGCTTAATTGTTGTACTTTTCTAAGCCTGTTTCCTAACCTGAAATACGGAGTTCCTGGGGCCTTTACGAGGTAAGGAATGAAACAAGGAAAGCCAACACTGTGCCAGCTACTGTTCTAAAGAGCTTTATGTGTATTAACCCTTTTATCCTCTCAGTCCCTACAGAGTACTAATATTCCTATCGCCACAATGTGTGCTTCAGGGAATTGAAACCTGGATCGGAATCTCATCCAGAGAAATAAAAAAACACAAACAACGATTCTCCAGGCCTCAGTTTCCCCATCTTCAAGTCGAGCGTCTGGCCTAGACACTACCGTGTCCGTCCGCAGACTGCCCGCGCCCCCTGCCGGCGCGAGGGGGCACTGTCTGGCCGCATCTTGCTGGAGCGTCCACGCTCTCGGTCGGCAGAGGGAGCGTGGACACCCTCGGGACTCGGAAAGTAAAGGCCTGAGGGCCAGCAAGGAGCCCGAACCCCGTCGGGAGCAGGCGGAAGGCCCCCACGCGGGCCCTGGGACGGAGACCGCGAGCTGGGGGCGTGGTCCCTAGCGGGGCGGGCCTCGAGCGGGGCGGGGCCCGCCCTCCGGCCCAGACGTGGCGCGGTGGTCGGGCGGTTCACCTCCAGCTTGGCACCTTCCGGCCGGTACCCATGCATCTCCCGCTGCCTCCGCGGCCCCTACTGCTGCTTCTCGCGGCACTCGCGGCCGCCACCACCACCTTCCGGCCCGACTGGAACCGTCTGCACGGCCTGGCCCGAGCCCGGGTAGAGGTGAGTGAGCCGGCCCCCAGCCTGAGGACCACCGCCCCTCTCCCCTGTGGCCCCTTAGCCTTAGGACCACCGCCGGCTGTGGCCCCAGGACCCTCCAGACTCCCAAGTCCCCGTAGGCGCCGGGACCATCCCTCCCGCTCCCCAGCCTCAGGATGCCCCAGCTCCCACGGTGGAAACCCGAGACACCCGATCTTGCGGCCTGGAAATCTGAACCCCTCCCCAGTTCCCCATCTGGCCGGACAGCGGGCCCCCAGACACATTGGTCCTGTCCCCTCACTCTTCTCCCGGCCTATGACTCTCCCAAACCTTCGCTCTGGAGCCCAACTTCCCATCCCCCCATCACTCCACTTTTTCCTGGAATTCCTCCCTCACCCCAGTTCCGGTTGGTCTCTCTCCCTTTGGCTGGGGGAGGGAAAACCTTCTGGGCGCCTCCCCCGACCATGCGAAAGCCAGGGAACAGGGCTGGGAACTAACTGCATTACCAACACTTACTCCTCAGCAGGCCCCCACGCTCCCCAAGGAGGAAAGTCTCCTCCTGTGTGACTTGGGTCGTCACAGATCCTCTCTGGGCCTTAGTTTTCTGTCTGACAGAAGGTGGGGGAGGAGGAGGAAGGACTAGAATGGGTGGTCCTGGGGTCTGGACTCCCGCTGAGAGGTAGCTTCCCCTTAGGGAGTGCAGGGAGGGGCTCTCCCATCCTCCCATGTTGGGGAAGCAACCAGATAGTCTGTAGGGCTGGGCCACAGGTGGCAGGGAGGGCCAGCTCTGCATGGGGTGGGGTAGGGACCGGATGGCAGGCATCTCTAATGGGGCCCCCAGGGCAGTTCTGAGCTGTTTCCTTCTGGTCTGCCTCCACCCTGAGGTTCTAGGGGCCAAAGGCCCGGCCCAGGTCTCTACTGCTCAAGAGGAAAAGGGTGATCATTTCTCTTGGGCATTGGGAGTGAGTCAACAGTCAGTAAGGTGTGCAGGCAAGAGCCCCGAGGCTGGTAAGTGCCCTTGGGGTCTCTGGCCTTGCTCTTCTTTTCCCTTGGTGTCCCTAGGCCTGTTTCCTCATCTGTACAGAGTTCCCCCTTCTGCCCACAAGCGGCCTCCCATCTCCTCACCTTGGGAACTGCTGCTCCAGGGTTAATCCACAGCCCAACCCAACTCGGGGATGAGGGTGAAATGGCCTTGAGGGTGTGGTTGGGGCAGATTTGAGGTACTCTTGAACTATCCTATTTTGTCTCCCTCCAGACCTGTGGGGGATGACAGCTGAATCGCCTGAGGGAGGTGAGTTTGAAGGAAGGGGTCTCCAGCTCTGTTCCCCCAAGCCTCTTGGGGGTGGGCGACATGGTTCCAGTGATTGGGTGGGGGAGGATCCCTGGGCTGGGAGTCAGGAGCCTTCACCTGACTCACTGTGTGACCTCACTGGGCTTCAGTTTCCCCGTAGTACCTGGAGGGCTTGGGGGTCTGATGCTCTGGTTCCTCCCTAGGTGAAGGCCTTTGTCACCCAGGACATCCCATTCTAGTATCCTTCTTTTGTGCTAGGGGAGGGAGAATGGGGAGAGGATCTGGGAGAACTTCCTTCCACTTAACTTCACAGATGGGGATGACAGATGGTTTTCATCTGACAAGTGGAACTGATTGGTAGTGGCTGCCCAGAGAATTCTGAGGTGGTCTTGGGAAGGCAAAAGAAATTGACTAGTGATGACTGCCACAGACACAGGAACGGAGAGGAGGGCCCTTTACTTCTTTGAACCCTTATTTCCTTACGTGTAAATGGGAATCCCTGCCCTACCTGGGCAAACGAGGCGGTGCTGTTCACATCAGCAAGGCCCTGGGAGACCCCATCTGCCTCGGTCCACCACTACCCACCTTAACACCATCTCTTGTCACAACCTGGTAATGAAACACCTCCCGGGGGCCGACCCAGAGCTCGTGCTGCTGGGCCACCGCTACGAGGAACTGGAGGTGAGACCCTGGGAGGTGGGCGGGGGGCAGGGCGAGAGGCGGGGCCCAGCGCACTGACCCCGCCCTTCCTCCACTTTAGCGAATCCCACTCAGCGAAATGACCCGCGAGGAGATCAACGCGCTGGTGCAGGAGCTCGGCTTCTACCGCAAGGCGGCGCCGGACGATCCTGTGCCCCCCGAGTACCTGCGGGCGCCCGCTAAGCCCGCCGAAGGCGCTCCGGCCCGCCCTGACCTGTAGGTCCGGGGGCGCGGTACCCCCCCTGCCTGAGCCCTGGGGACAGAATGAAGCGTTCAGCGTCCCGGGAGCACCTCCCTCGCTGAGGGCCGACGCCCGGTCCCGGAGCTGCAGGGATAGAGTTGGGGATTCCTCCTAACCCCTCTTCCCTCCCTAGGTCAACTAAATCCCCTTCCACCTTAAACTGACTTGACTCCTTCCTTGCAGCGGGCGGGTGGGGAACAGGAGCCTCCCGAATACCCCCATCCCCAACTGCTTGGCTTCAGGAGTGGGGACGTGGGGGCACCTTGACGAGCCGCCCTTCATTTAACCGCCCAAAACAGGCAGAGAGGAATCAGGGTCGTTGAAAACCAATAATTTATCAAAACGCTGCGTGTGTATGCGGGGGAGGGTGTCGCGACAGACAGGGCAGCGATGGGCAGGCGCACAGGGAGGGGATGGTGCCTGGATGGTGGAGGCAGCTTGCCGCAGGCGGGCGGTGGGGGCGGGGAGGCTAAACATTCTTGCCGCGCAGGCGCAGCTCGTGGCGCCGCAGGTGGTTGTAGAGCGACTGCACATAGGTGAAGACGCACTTGGGGTCGGGCTTCTTGCCCATGATCATCATGTCATCCACCTCCACCAGGGGCACGCAGTCCACCAGCATCCTGCGGGGAGGGGGCACGGGGGTGCTTGTCAGCGCTGGCCCCGCCTCTTGCGGCGACCCTCCACCTGGAGGTCTTTTCACTGCCGTAGCCTGCTGGTCTTCCATAAACTCCAGATTCTTGATTGACTGAATGGGGTAAAAGCCTTCCAGGAAGGCAGGAAACCCCAGTCCCCACTCACCCAAGCCTGGAGGCACGCCTGTGGGGAGCGAAGCCAGGCAGGTGGAGGTGGGATGGGGGAGACGAGCACCGTACCCCGACCCAGTCCGGGCAGGGTCTGTGTCTCCACCCTCAGGCCTGGGGAGGTCCTGACTCCCGACCCCGCCCACGTTCTCTCCGGAGGGCCGCCTCCTGCCCACCCTCAACGGCACACTCCAGACGGCAGAAGCCTCTCAACTGGGCTGTTGCATCCGGAGTGGGGGAGGGGGGCTTACCACTGGCAAATCTTTCCCTGCAGCCAGGACCCGCCCCAGTGACCCTCTGGGCCCAAGATTATCTGCCAGCTGCCTGGCCTGGTACCTCCTGCAGAGAGCCCCAGAAACCCCTGTCCTTACCCCAGGGGACAATCTTGCTGCAAGAGATAGGAGGCCAGGGAGTGTGTGTGGGGGGGATTCCTTTAGCCCTTACCACCGCCCTTGGGTAGAAAAGGGAAAGCAGATGACCAACACAGGACCAACACAGACAGGGCCATCTACAACATGCTCAGGGGTGGGACCACTCTTCTGTCCATCCTCCAGAGTGCTAGCTGCACTTTACAGATAAGGAAACTGAGTCACAGAGCAGAGGAGCCATTTGTTCCAAGCCCCACAGCTTAGTAGGTGCAGGGCTGGGCCTCATGGGCCCCAGGCCTCCAGCCCTGGGTGTGGGCGCCTGCCTGGAGCCCCCTCTTCCCCACTGCAGGAGCTCTCTCCCCACTCTGGGGTGAGTGGGTTGCATCTACTAAGCAACTGACAGCCCCAGAGCTCTAAAGCTAGAGTTTGCTCCCTGGCTCCATTTCCCCTCCTCTCCCAGAGCAAGACCTCTTCTGCTTTGCTCTCTCCCATCTACAATGCCTGGCATATAGTAGGCACTCAGCTAGTGTTGTTAAGTGAGTTTCCTTTAGCAGGAAAGGCATAAGGGCAGGAACTGTTTCTGTTCCCAAGACACCCAAGGGCCCATGACTCCCTCCCATCTTGTGCCTTCAAGGTCAAAGCTGGCACCACAGCCTACTCCCAGCTCACCTGGACTCCTTCAAGGAAGAAGCCTGTTTCAGTCCAGGCTGTACCCCTGACCAGCTGTGTGTGCTAGATAAAGCCCTGCTTTGTTGTAACTCAGTTTCCCCATCTTTATGCAACAGTACAGTCATTCTCTGCCTCATTTGAGACCTTGGAAACACTTAGGATGAGTGAGGGGCTCCTGACTCTGTTGCTGATGTGCTATGTGCCCTTGGGGTCATCTCTGCCCCAGACTGGGCTTGTTCCCCCAGCTATACTGGGTGGGGAGGGCAGCCTCTCTCTGTAGCTTCTTCCAGCTGTGGCTATCTCTCCAGGGATCCCGGCTTCCCTCCCCCAGTGTGGAGCTCCCTCCCACGCCTGGTGTCTTCCCTGGAGACCTTATAAAGCCATTGTTTACACTGGGGCTCACGGCTCAGGGCTCCAGTGACAGGCCAAACACCAGGCAATTCGAGCAACAGTGCAGCTGAGTCACACTTTCCAACTGGATCAGGGCCGGGCTGGGCCCCTCTCCCTTCAGGACGGCTTACTGGACAGCAGCGCCTAAGTCCATATATGACTTGGAGACAGTACCAAGTCCAACCTGCCCTCACCTGCACAGCTTCTCTGAGGATATGTGTGCACGTGTGGGCTGCCCCCACAATAGCTCCAGGCCCTGAGGGACATCTGAGTGTACCCCTCCCTAGCTCTGTCCCTGACTCACATTACTTTGGGCAATCCCCTTGCTCCCTCTGGGCCTCTGTCTTTTTTTCTCTACAAAATGGGTGGGAAAAGTGATGGGGCAACGAAAAGAGCCACTAAGTGAGGAGTCTAGAGTTCCAGTTTCTGGCCCCAGCTCTGACCTAACCCCCTTGGGACACTCTGAGCCCACCTCTGTCCTTCTCTGAGCCCCATGTCTGTAATGGGCAGTTAGCTCAGGATCTGAATTCTCTACTGTGGCCCTGAGGGGAGGTGACCAGACAGGAAATGCCACAGCTGGCCCGGGGATCCAGGACCCCAACTAGAAACATCTCGTTAAACTGGCCTTGCTCCTCAGCTCCCCATTTGGAGCATGGCATCATCAACTCCCCAGTGCCCAAACTGGAGGCCTGGGAGGCTTTCTTGACCCTTCTTGTCCCTCTCCAAACTGGATCCATCAGGAAGCCTGTCCTTCTTAAGCTGCTCCAGCTATCTAGTCCATCCCCTCCCTTCCCATTCCTCATCCAAGGATTGTTCTAGAATGCTCACCAGATCACATACATCTGCCTCTGTTTGAAAACCTTTTATGACTCTTGTCCTTAGGAGGAAGTTCAGACTCCTGACTGTGGCCCCTTCCTCCCCCTCACACCCAGACTAAACTACCTTTCCTTCCTGGGTGTGCCATGCTCTCCATCTCTTGGCCCCCAGCCCGGTGCACAGGCTCATCCCTCTGCCTGAGACGCCCTCTCCCTCCTTTGAGCCTGAACTTGTTCAGATCTCAGCTTGGTCTGCATTTTTTTCAGATAGTTGTCCTGGACCTGCAGGCTGGGTCAGGTGTCCCCCTGGATTCCCTCCTGGGCTTCCTCCATCTCAGTCCTGCTCACCTGGGTTATCACTGCCCATTTAGGAGAGTGGTCTCGCCTCCTAGGCCCTGAACTGCCAGAAGACAGGGCCATATCTGGCTCCTTCTGGCTCTTTTCAGGGTCCCCTGTTCCCCCACCCACCTCCCGGGCCTCTGCCCCGCTGAGCAGATTCCGGTGAAACGGGGCAGACGGGCAAGGCGGCGTTTCTCACCGTGGGGCCCCAAGCAGGGGTTAGGACTTTTTGGTTTTTACCAGCCCCTTCTGGACCAGACAGCGGTAGAACTCCTGGATGTACGTGTACACGCACTTCCAGTCAGGCTCTCGAAGCCGCACCATGTCCTCTGTGTCCAGGAGCTGCGGGCAGTCCGCATGGGTCCTGGGGAGGGTAGGGGGCCGGGAAGGGGCAGGGAGGCAGGCCCGGGCGGGGAAGAGGGGGAAGAGGCAGAGAAGAGAGAGGGGAGGAGAACAGAGAGACACACACATACACACACACACAGAGACATGAGTTCAGTTACATTCTCAGTGCTGCAGTCTGCCAGCCCCCCGCATGCCCCCTTCCCATCGTGGACGTGCCGTTCACTACCCGTCACTAATGGTGTGCGATGCAGACAGGGGTGGGGGGCCAGACCAGTCACAGGTGCAGAGAACTCTTGGGGCAAGCGGGAACGCGGGGTGGGGGGCGATGGCGTTGGCGCCAAGGTTGGAGAGGAGGGCTGTGCCCCAGGGAGGGGGGGTGAGGGAGGCGTGAGAGGAGGTGGAGGGAGGAGGAAGAGGAAGAAATCTGAAGGGAACCAGAAAGAGAAAGGGAGAGAAGGAAAGACAGATGGAGGAGGGTGCTGAGGGTGAGGTGAGCAGACGGGGCAACGATTCCAAAGTGGAGGGCTTGCTGATGTCCTATATAAGCCTCTGGCAACACCTATATAGGCTGGGCGGGCACGGTGCCCGGGCCAGGAGCCTCCTTTTGGAATCTCCAGCCGGGATCCCGTGGGAGCAGGAAGCTCTGGTGATAGTGGGAGGAGAGCAGGACAGAGGAAGGGAAAGAGAGAGGGAGAAGGGGGCAGAGGGAGGATGGAGGGGATATGGACAGGGCCACCTGGTGGGCCTTGGCCCGGGCTGGTAGGCGGGCCTGTGGCTCCTTCGTTCCGGCAGGCACCTGGCACACTCAGCAGCGAGTGGGTGGTGTGGAAGAGGACGGGGGCTTTCTGGGGCAGGGGGTCTCAGCCGCTGTCTGACAGTGCAGCTGGCCAGCTCCAGGGGGCTTGGGGGCAGCTGGGCCTAGCCCAGGTGCCCAGCCCCAGATGCCCAGCCGATGCCAGCAGGGCTGGGGCCCACACTTACTCGGCGGATGAGAAGGCCACCTCGAAGTTCTGGCGCCGGTTCTGCGGGCTGAGCTGCCCATAGTCAAAGGCCTCCGGGAAGAAGTTGTGCACCAAGGCACAGAAGGCCATCCCGTCACTCCAACTCGAGGAGAAGTTCTGGATGTCCACATGCTATGGGTGGTGGGAGGACTGGTCAGCTCCCCCATGCCTTCTACCCCCCAGCATTTTAGCATTCCAGACCTAGGGCAACTGGGCTCAGAGAGGCCCTGTAGCTTGCCCAAGGCTGCACAGCAGGTGAGCAGTGAGAATATGAGCTTCCTTCAACTCAGTTTGTCAACTCCTACGTCTACTACTTAACCAGGACAGAGCAACCAAGAGGCCCAGCACCACCCAGCTAAAGCCATGGTCATGCTCCCATCATTCCTTCCCTTATCTATAGAAATTAACCCAGTGTCCCCCACAGAGCAATGAGGAAG